GCTGTTAAAATACACCATCCGGAAACCCTGAAGAATAACTGCCAGTGGTGAAAAACAACACTGAAAAACAAGCCACTCCAAGCCTGAGGATGTTTCCCAGTTTCGCAAAGACTACAAAGCAAAATATAGCACTCTTTAAAAGGAGAGAAACAACTCTCTGGGAGCAAAGGCACTTGAAGAGGTCAAAACAAAGGAGAAAAGATTGCAGCTGATACGGAGAATGGAAGAGCCAGAGAAGGAAGGCCTCTTGTTTGTCCACAGAGAAGAACGAGTGGGTGAGAAAAGAAGATGGATTTGGGACAAACATTAGAGGTCTTGGGCAGGATCTGTTGTTATCAGCACTGATAGAATAGGGAGCGATGGAAACCACGAGGTGGAATGGAGTTATTGAAGGATAACGTATGAAGAACAGCAAATGGGCCTAAAGTTACAAACATCCGACTTGCAAATATCTCCTAGTTAAGAACAGGGCTGAGACAACAGGAAGTGAGAGGACTCTCCCCCTCGGAAAGAAGGGAGATCAATTCCTGGAAGAGTTATCATCATGAGCGAAAGGTGTCTTCCCTGAATCAAAGAGTTGGAAGAGACCTCGTGGGCCATCCAGTCCAACCCCCTGCCAAGCAGGAATATTGCATTCAAAGCACCCCTGACAGATGAGCATCCAGCCTCTGTTTAAATGCTTCCAAAGAAGGAGCCTCCACCACACTCCGAGGCAGAGAGTTCCACTGCTGAACGGCTCTCACAGTCAGGAAGTTCTTTCTAATGTTCAGGTGGAATCTCTTTTCTTGTAGTTTGAAGCCATTGTTCCGTGTCCTAGTTTCCAGGGAAGCAGAAAACAAGCTTGCTCCCTCACTCCTGAAGCTTTATCCCCAATCCTTGTCTCCAAAACAAGCCAGAGTTTCCAAAATCCAATCCTCACATAGACAGAAAATGCGATGAAATCTTCCAAACAGGGGCAGAGACAACAAAGGAAACACCACAGGGGTGTCCACACTTCCCTATGCTATCCAGAGAGAGAGAGAGAGAAATACACACACACAAACATTGAGATAAATATATATGGAAGGATATATGTGTATGGGCATATAGGGATATATATATTGGTATATATACACATATGGATATATATATATATATGTATATATGAATGTTAAAAATATATGGATGGATATATATTGGACCAACTGCTGCTCTGAGATCAGAATGAAGAGAGGGGCCATGAAGGCAGTTCCATCTTGCCTCCTGCACTGTGCGTATAATATACAATACAATATATTGGATATACATATAATATTGATAATATTATAATGTAATACAACATACTAATAATAAAGAAGGAGGGAAGGAAAGAAGGAAAGAGAGAAGGAAGAAAAGAGAGACAGAAGATAAAGAAAAATGGGGAAGGAAAGAGAGATAGAGAAGGAAGGAAGAAGAGAAGGAGAGGCAGGAAGGAAGGAAAGTGGGAGTGAAGGAAGTTAGAGAAGGAAGGAAGGAGAGAAGGAAAGAAAAAAGGGAAAGAGGGAAGGAAGATGTAGGGAAAGAGGGAAAGAAGGAAAGAGAGAAGGAAGAAAAGAGTGACAGCAGAAGAGAAAGAAAAGGGGGAAAGGAAGGAAAAAGATAGAGAAGGAAGAAGAGAAGGAAAGACGGGAAGGAAATAAAGAGGGAGTGAAGGAAGGAGGGAAAGGAGAGAAAGAGGGAAGGTTGGCCACAGCAACGCGTGGCGGGTACAACTAGTTTGTGTATAATATGCATACATACACACGTACATGGATATATACAGACATATGGATACACACACATATGAATATATGTATATATACATAAATATACACACATATATACAGACACATATATATATAGGTATGGGGGTATAAATAAAGTTTTATTATTATGATTATAGCACTGGGTATATATTGGACATAAACTTTATTTGAAACCCACCCTATCTCCCCAGGTGCACTCTGTACACGTGTATATCCAAGTTTATATATATATATATATATAGAGAGAGAGAGAGAGAGAGAGAGAGAGAGAGAGAGAGGGGGGGGTACATGGATATATACAGACATATGGATGCACACAGGCATATGGATATACACACACAGATAAGAAAATATATGCACATATATATATATATATACAGACACATGTACATATGGAGATAGGTATGGGGGTATAAATAAAGTTTTATTATGATTATAGGATTGGGTATATATTGGACATAAACTTTATTTGTAACCCACCCCATCTCCCCAGGGGCACTCTGTATGTGTGTATATCCATGTTTATATATGTGTGTGTGTGTGTATACACACACACATATACATGGATATATACAGACATATGGATACACACAGGCATATGGGTATATACACACATATGAATATATATACATATATGCATATATACATAAATATACAGACACACATACATACATACATATACAGACACACATATATACATGGATATATACAGACATATGGATACACCCAGGCATATGGATATACACACACACGAATATATATATAGACATATATGTATATATACA